GCAAAGAGACGCCCCCCAAGCCCCCCCCATCAATGCAAAACAAAACCCCACCTGTCATATTGAGATTTACCCCAATTCCTAGAAGCTTCTGCATCATTGTAGCTTTAAAGAAGCCTGGAATGAGCCACAAGACAGTGGGGGGCGACACCTCTCCCCCCCTCTTCCGAAGACGCCCCTCCTCCCCCCACATAAAAAAATGGGGGTCCCATTGTCAGGTGCCACGTGACAGCCAACTTCTCCCTTCATTTCAGGCAGCTGGCCCTTTAAACAGCCACCGCCCGTCGCCGCCTCGGATTGGCCAGATTGCGCCACCAGAGGCGGGAGCAGGGACTTGAGTGGCAGATCCCTCTCCTTCCCCATCCCCCCGCCAGCCGAGCCTTCACTCGTCGAGAAGCGTCACGTGGGCAGAAAGGACTCACCTGATTGGTCGCCATCGGGAGAAGGACGAAGGCGCGCGACCTTGGCGGCCCCGATGCGACGAGGCCCATCCTGATTAAATTCCGGCCAAACTTAGGCCCCCGCGACGTGACAAAACAATAAGAAATAAAACACCCATTTAAAAAAAAAAATCCCCTCAACGGTCGCTTCAGCTGCCATGGCCGGGCGGGAATCCGAAGTGACGTCCACGTCATCGCCTCCTGATTGGCTCCCCGCCGTCACGCGACCGCTCCATCAGAAAAATGCCCGGATGATCCTTCAAGGCGGGGGGGGTGTCAATCTATGAGGCGATTTTGCCCGTTTGCCGAGAAGAAAGCGCCAAACCGGTGGAGGGAGAAAAATAACCCGCCTCGGCGAAGCCGCCTGGCGGGGGGTCCGGATCGAGCGCCGCCCCCTCCCCCGCCGAGGTCTCGCTTTGGGGGTGAAGTCAGCATGGCTCCCGCGACGCCCGGGGACGGCGACTGCGCATGCGCCCCGCTCCTTCTCCGACTCTCCCCCTCCCGCCCGGGGCGCATGCGCGCTGGGGCTTCGCTGCGGCGCGAGTCCCTTTCTGCGCGGTGGCGCAATGGCGCGAGGGCAGCCCCGGGCACGGCGCATGCGCGGGAGCAGGCCAGCCCTTTCTCTGCCTGGTGCAGCTGTTGCAAGAGGGCGAGTCCCGGGATCCCGTTTAGTCCTGCGCGAGCTCGCAGTTCCAGCAATAAAGAGCGCCCTTTCCTTTTCCTGCACTTATGCATGTGCGCGACTGCAGCACGAGTGCCTGCTCTCGCCGTGCGCCAAATACGGGGTTGAACTGTGGAACTCCCTGCCACTAGAGGCGGCGCTGGCCATCACCCTGGAAGGGAATTAGACAGATTCAGAGGAGGGGGCTAAGGCTAGGGAGGGCTCCTGGCCAAGAGGGCCCAGCAGCAGCAGCAGTGGCTAAGCAGATGTCCCGAGAGGGAAGTCCAGCAGCAGCAGCAGCAGCCACCTGCTACTCTCCTCCGGGTAGACTGCCTCTTACAATGGATGTCTTAGTTGAATTTTATTATTACGGTCACAGACCAGTTCCGGCTTACTTACAATATCAGAGAAATCATAAAACACAACAGGAATGCATTGTATTGCAATTGGGTATAACAGAGGCAATACAGTTAAAAATATGTATTAAATCTTTATCACTAAAATATAACCTAAAATTGTCATTTCAAACCTTAAGCATTTTGGTAGTACAGCTCGGTCCCTAAGTTTTATTGCAGACGCACAGAATTTGGCCACCCTGAGCGTGATCTCTAGATCCTTGTCCTCTACCAGGAGTTTTAGACATTGAAGTTCAGACCCATTTGGAGATTTTGGTATAACAGGAGTGATAAATACCGAGCGTATATCCCCGTAGAAACGGCAGACTCGTTCCACGTATGGTTTACCCTCGAATCTGCCCTGCAATAAGGCAGATGGCAGCACGTTGAATCTAGCGAGGGTGAACGACCGTCTGTATTTAGGTATCTGTAATTTTGATGTCCTGTTAACTGCGATCTGTGCATTGCAGGGGGTTGGGCTAGATGACCCTCGGGTCCCTTCCAACTCCACAAATCTATGCCGTAGCCACCATGGCCACAAATTCGTCTCACTCCGCCCCCTTGAAAGCCCTCTGAGTGGGTGGGCGCACGGCAGCCCCGCTGCAATCGAAGGCGGCTTTTCATCAATTTGCACCCATCACTTAGCAGTTGCCTTAATTTCATAGAATCATAGAGTTGGAACAGACCACAAGGGCCATGGAGTCCAACCCCCTGCCAAGCAGGAAACACCATCAGAGCACTCCTGACATATGGTTGTCAAGCCTCTGCTTAAAGACCTCCAGAGAAGGAGACTCCACCACACTCCTTGGCAGCAAATTCCACTGTCAAACAGCTCTTACTGTCAGGAAGTTCTTCCTAATCTTTAGGTGGAATCTTCTTTCTTGTGGTTTGGATCCATTGCTCCGTGTCCGCTTCTCTGGAGCAGCAGAAAACAACCTTTCTCTCTCCTCTATATGACATCCTTTTATATATTTGAACATGGCTATCATATCACCCCTTAACCTCCT